CGGAATAAATACATGCATTCTTCACATACTGCAGCTGCCTACAATAACACATTTTACATATATGACTACCGGTCCCATGCTGTACTACTAACAATACATTCATTATACATGCTTACTACTAGACAATCAGACATTAACACATGCTGAGTATCTGGCTGAAGGTGTCTCAACCATACACATTTATCATATATACTACTGGTACACATGCTGTATACTGGGGACAATCCAGATTTGTACATGCTGTACTATCTAACTAATACACATTTACACTTCGCTCGTACCTACTCACAATACACACTGAACATGCTGTCTACTAACAATTAATAATACACATTACACATGCTGTACTACTAACAATACACATATTACATGCTGTACTACTAACAATACAGATTTTACACGCTGTACTACAAAAAATACACATTACACATGTCACATGCTACATACTACTAACAATACACATTACACATGCTGTACTACTAACAATACACATTTTACACGCTGTACTACTAACAATACACACATTACATGCTGCACTGCTAATACACATTGTGCATACTGTACATTTTGCACTGGTCGTGCATTGTATGTTTGGCAGAACAGACTGTACTATATAGAGTTACTGTACTACTGCACGCGCACATAGAACTGAATGAGTGAGCTCGTACACACGTGCATAAATTACCCTTGCCGCCGGCGGCACGCCACGCCCCTGTCACTGACATCACACATACACCCCTTAGGCTTAAAGGCAAGGGAATAGTTTGACACGCATGACAATAGTTTGATTAAAACGAAGAGGGGCGTGTCCGAGAGAAATTTCACTGGGGCTGTAGCATCGTGCGAGGCAATGCAACAGCAGACACGCACACGTCACTACCTTAGACTAGAGTGAAAATTAGCTGATTGGCTGGTTCGTTGCCAACCCTGCACACATTTATTTTAATCACTAACATCTTATCCCCCCACCACCACCACCTACTTTTACTCACACCCGTTAGATACTAGCGTCACTATAATGTAAGGGAGACGTATACGTTGACGCAGAACGTAAATTTGCAGACGTACCAAAGTCTACACGGCTGACATGTTACCGGGGGAATGCCAACACGTTTAACCAATGCTATGCTAGGCTATGCTAAGCTATCCAATGCTATGCTATGCTATGCTATGCTATGCTATGCTATGCTATGCTATGCTACGCTATTCAATGCTAAGCTATGCTATGCTACGTTATACTATGCTAGACTTTGAAATGCTATGCAATTCTATGCTATGTGATGCAATTCTATGCTATGCAATGCCATAATTGATATACTATGCAATGCAATGCAATAATATCAGGAGAATAATATGCTGTGCTCAGCAATCCTAGGACGATGCACCAATGTGTGTACCCAGTAAATCCAGGTGGTCTCTGTTAGTAAGACGTCACTCAATAGCTAAACCCTTGCACAAGTGGTGACTGTAGAACCCAAGGGGATTAGATTTAATATTGAGAGATCAAAAACTACTTCCCCCCATGGAGTATCAACTATCTACACTAAGCAAGGGGGTCCACTCCTAGATTAGCATGTATGCGAACTATGTATACAGGGGTCCCAGACTAAGAATGAGCAAGCAAGGGTAAGTAACCATGACTGCTTGTCATAAATCCACTGACACCCATCGCCTAACCACTGTACACTGCTGCTGCCCTGCTGGGTATATTGCCAGGTATATGGTACCCACTGTAACTGTATGTGGGCAAGCGAATACAGGTATAACTGGTAGATTAAAATCTTACAACATCTACGATATAGTTGCACCATGGCATTTGTATAAATTGTGATAACTGTGGAGTTCTTTAAATTATATTAACACCCACTATATAAGGTTACAATATACCCGGACAAAAGAATACAGGTAAAACGGACAGTACCCTCTTTCAACATTCATGCTGTAGGGTTGAACCACGGCGATAGTGATGTTGTAATGACTGAGCATTGTTCGACATACGACCCCCATTAATTATGAGTTTAACTGTACTTGGGCGGTGATATGCAGTTACGAGCAGAGTACAGTGTTCTCATTAGGAACCGGCCACCGGCCGAATTGACCGTCTACTCTGCTGTTTCGGCCGGTTACAATTGGCTCAAGTATGATATTTAAAAAAAACAAAAAAAATTATTCTCCAAATTAAGGTTTTAACCAAAAAAATTTGGGGG